CTTTGATGTGGGGCATAGAAATCCTTGGAATGTCCTATAGTATTTGGTTCATAAATTCTGGTAAACAAGTTCCGAGTACAGCCTAGACCCTCAAAATCCGATTCTGGGACCTCAGATCCCCAAAGCTGAGAAGCACATAAAAGGGTGACATTCAGAAAATTGTGAAATAATTTTATCTTTAATTCGTAGAAACTGGAAAATAAATAAATAAAAAAAATTGGTGGCTTTCATGAGACTCCATAAATGTGCCAAGCCGATTGTTAAGATCGCCAGACTCGCTCTAATAGCAGTTTCGACAATTTTGATAAAACGAACGAAATGAGTAAATTCGTGTTGTGTAGTTTGAAAATAATTTCTCTAATATACACATCATTTTTTTCACAATTAATTGTAATAACTTTTGTATATCTGAGTTGAATCATTTTATCAACACTGTTGAACAGGATTGTGTATCATTATGTCGACGCTCTGAGTTGTTTGTATTCTGAACTGAAAGCTTATGAAGCTATTTAATTATTTCTTTAATTTCCGAAGTACTTGTACTAAAAAAAAACAAAGTAAATTGAATATCAATTTTGGTAATTTTACGAATTTAATACAATGAATTTGAACTGAGAGAATATGAAGCGAATACGAATCAAAGTAATAGCCGTTTGAATAATCAAGAGGGAACACAGAAATTTGTAATTTTTGTCGTCGAAATATTTCCGTAACTCGCAATAAAACACTGGAGCTGTAGAAGAGATTAGTTGAGTAAAAATTGCGATTAGTAAATCGGATATTTATATGCTATAATTTGGTTGAAAGTGCTGAATATTGTGTATGCATTACACGAATGACTTCGTATAACTGATGCCACCCCTGTATGTATAGTTTAAAAAAAAACGTCCAAAATTAAAAAAAAAAAAAAAAAAAAAAAATAGGGAGGGAGAAAGAAGAGAAAAAATCGTTTTGCCTTTTACGTGTGTTAGAATTAAACAATTGATGCAGCCATATTTTAAGACACTTACAACCTTGTAAACAGTGTTAGAGAGCCGAATCATTCAAGCCTATAGATTGGTTAAGGAAACTGATGTTTGGTAAGATTTTGCTTCATCTTTTGAAGGAAAAAAGTGTCATTTGTTTCTCTCTGAAACACACGACCTTCAAGATTTAATGATCTTTAAATTACAGGTGTGCGATTCGTAGGTTAAATTTCTAGAGAAAATGAAACATTTGTGTGTAATGAAAGGTGAATCGAAAGGAAGTGAGTTCTGCTTCTAAAAGTAGCTTTTGTGAAAGCCCAAGCTGAATTAAATAGAGAAAAAAAGGGGAGAACAACAAAATTTCAATTGTAATTTCAATGGAAGTTGTTTTTATGTATACGGCACGCATTCGAATTTTAGTTGTATTTTTAACACATATACTTAATACGTGTTACATAGCAAACAACAGATGATTTTTTTTTTTTTTTTTTTTTTTTTTTTTTTCAGTTAAATTGACAGGCTTACAAAGGTTTTGCTGAGTTTTACACTTTTAGTAAGCAGACAGAAATTTTCTGAAAGCACTGAATATGAATTTTTTTAGAAGATAATAAATTCAGAAGTCTATATGAAGTAAACAGATTCAGTCTTTATGCAGGAGCTAAAAAAGACACATTTCCGTGGGTGACGATCTTACTTAAATTAGAATCTGGAATTCAAGATATCGAAAGGCTTTAATTCAATAATGAAATTGATAAAATTTTTAGATATTAAAGATAGATATTGATATTTTAGGTTAGAATTTAGATACTTTAGATATTTGAATTTATTAAAGGATACTATAGACTCTGTTCTTCACCTAAAAGCCAGGATGTTGTGACACTTGAGCGTGCGGCAGTTCCGTACTGGTGAAATTTGCACACAATATATAACTGTAGAAAACTGAAATCTTCTAATAGGATTAATAAGTTATGGACAACAACACTTCTTCACAGCCTTTCAGAAACAATGAATCAGCCTTATATTTTTTTGACATAATTTTTCCTTTTTTTCTGCTCTGACGTAGTAGTATCCGTCAGTGTACGTGAAGTAGAGTTCGTTCCTTCTTTGAATCCTATTTTTTTTTTAAAAATTGTAATGCATTGTGGAAAAAAAATGTGAAGAAAAATAAATTAAAACTTAAAATCGCGATGTAGTAAGGGCTGTTTCTACTACAACCCAGTTTTAATATTTTAATTTATTCATCCTTCACAAATTTTTTTTCAACAATGCATTACAATTAAAACTTATTATTATTGCATTAAACATTACAGCTTACTCCTATCGATGAACCAAATACTACAACTTTTCCCGTTCTTTGAACTGAAGTGACTTTATACTTCGCTTGAACTCAAAGTGGTGTTTTTCTTAGGATTCATTATTCAGGTAATTCGATGTTTTTTTTTCCTTTTCAAATTATTCCTCTTTACTTCTACATATTTTATATTACAGCAGAAGTTTTTTATAATTATTTTTTACAATTAGTTTTTACTGAGTTAAATCAGTTCAAAATTCGTTAGTTTACACTAAAACTTATTCCATTCATTGAACTAAACACTATAACTTTTTTCATGCTTAAACTGAATTGAGTTAATACTTCACTTGAACTCAAATTGGTTTGTCTTTTTGGGATTCCTGTAATACGATGCTTTTTCCCTTTTCAAATTATTCATTTTTGTTTCTACAACTTTTATGCTGTAATAGAACTTTTTTCCTCGTTATTTTTATTGAGTTTAATCAGATTAGAATTTGTAGTTTATCTGAATTCATTACTCAACACAATTTAGGCTTTGTTACTATATATCAGTTTTTCATTTCGAAGCTTTTGTTATTCTTGTGATACAGATCTTAAAAACTTACTCCTTTTCTTATTTTTATTTTTTAAATCAAAATTTCATTTACTTCTTTTTATTTTTGCATACATTGTATTAGTTCTGCTTTGCGTGTTTGTAGACTCGGTCTACTCATATTGAAAAATTTTATTAGATTTTTAACTTCTTTTTTTTTTATTTAGTCTATTATTTTTTTATTATATTATGTTCTCAAAATCGCATACAGTTTTGTTATTGTCCATACCGGATTAAAAAATTTGAATATCCTTTCGTTTTTCAGGTATTGGATTATTATTTTTGCAAGGTTTATCTTTGGAGTCCATCAACTCAAAATAATTTTGTAAATTTTATTTCGCAAAATTTTTGAATTTGTCTATGTTTTTGATGCTATAATTGTGAATTTTTGAGACAGTTTATTTCGGCCTGTAGGGACTGGAATGATAAAGACATGAATTACTTTAAATATTAAATTTGTATTTTTTGTCGGTTCAGAAATTCTTTAATTTATTTACTCCTTCCTCAGTTACAGCCTCCCCTCCCCTGATGACGATGCAGCGAACGATCAAATTTGATTTTCATTTTTGATTTTGGTATGTTTTGCCTCTACCTGTTTCTTGCAGTTTACCACTGTGCTTCAGTTTTTAAGTTTTTGCATGCTGTTTATTCCTCATTATATCAACGATGTCTATGCCCCATTAAAATCTGTCTATCAGCTCTGGTTATAATCCACCAAATGTGAAAATTCTATTATTTTAAACCAGTGGACATTTTTATCTAGCAATCAAAGGAAAGAAAAAGCGAAAAAATGCAAAAATTAAATAGATTTATAGAGGTAAAGTCACTTTATTTCTAGGCAGGAGGACACTTTATTGTTACTGGGTACTAAAAGTTTTGATTTGAATACTTTTGGGATAAATTTTCTGGCGTTACTGATATATTTGTGCATTACTAGCGTTATATAAAAAACACGTGATAAGCACTAATTTTGCAATGACCCACTCCAGAAAGATAAAGTATTTTACTACTTATAGTGAAGGACGGGAAAAACCGAATTAAAGGGAAAATTTTATTAATTAATTTTATTAATTTATTAATTAATTAAAAAATTAAAGGACCACTTTTAAAGTCAAAATTCAGTTATAAAGGCAGCAGTCCACTGCGTTAATTTTCGGACGGCCGCCGCTAGGCTGTCCTTCCAAAAGACAAGATTTGGTTTGGTTTAGTTTGTTATGGCAAAGAACGCTAAATCTATCTGCCTAAGGAGAATCATGCCTTCGTGGAATACTTTCTAAAGGAAACTGACTGGTATATACGTTACACATAGGAAAAACCACGAAGACACCCATGTAGCCAGCCCGTTCGCCTAAATTTGAACTCAGGTCGGAAGTACCAGAGTTCAGCGGCCGCTGGTGGGCCTCAACTAAATAAAGGTGCATTTCGCTTCGAATTTATTAATATGTTTAAGCTGTACTGCGTAACGACTGACTTAGGACTCCAAAAATGATACTGCCTCGCTTAATTTTTATATAAATACATGCACAAAAATTCTTTCTTGTATTTCAACATGCATGCATAACACATATTTCTTTGCTAATATTGGAATTGTAATTGATCAATATGTTAAACTGCTTTTATTTAAATACAGCTTTTGCCGTATTCACTAGATGCTATGGAATGCACTTCGTTTAAAGAAGCCTAGTTTAGATTAAAATTCTTTACAATGAGTACGTTGAATTCAATTTACATGTGTATGAAGCGGAGCGGTCACATCTGAAATTTCATTTCAAGGAGGCAGGAGATGTTAGCACTATCACTGTTAAGAAACTAGTAGCACTTTTTGCTATTTTCATTGAACTCATGAAATATTATATTGGCTTCGAAGATTCTGCTATTTTGAAATTTACTGTTACGCATAAATGGCACATGCGAGCGTTATTATGCACTCCCATTTTTGTTTAACTGATGCAACAAAGCTATACGAAAAACAAAACTTAAATATGTGTATATGCTACACATTTATTAAGAATCTATACGTATATAAGTACGAAAAATAAAAGATGGGTAAGATGAAATACTAACTATAATTTGCAATAGACCTTTTTTAATTTGATTATTTCCCTTTTCCACCCTAAAACATAGTAGCTGTTTGTAATAAGTAGCTTGAAACTACATTATTTAAAAATTTATTCTTCTCACAAGAATTTTACAACGCTGATGAAGCAGCCATATCATAACATTAAAATTTCCTAGCTAAATCTTAAGTTAACTAATGAAAATGAAGCTGAGCTAAAACTAAACCAGTCTTATCTTGACCTTCGAGGCAGCCTGTGGGGATTCCTTTTCTGCTTTTTTCTCATGCTGGCTTGCTGGTGCTGCTTTTCTTATTTACTGAAAATACATTATAAAAATATATAATTTGCTTAAAAACACAGGCGCATGTCTTGTGCCAATTTAGTAACTAAGAGTTAAAAAAATCGAGTGATCAAGAAATGCAATTTCTGTGTTTACCATGAAATAAAACGCAAATGTGTGCCAGGACTAGATCTTTCACTCCATGTTTCGGCTTTCATCGTATACATCTACCAAGTCATTCAACATATATATATATATCTAGAGAGAGATATATCGGGCCTTCCAATAAGAATGATATGATTTGAAAATAAAATAAATTAAAAAATATTTCATTTACAACCAAACGTTTTGTATTATATTGAAATATAACTTATGACATTATGCTTTGAATAAAATATCATTTAGGTGTCTCCCTCGACTTGTCTACACGAGCGACTTTGATGAACACAATTTTCGATGGCTGTGTGCAATAAAAGGGCTTAATGTGACGAGTGCAGGCAGCGTTTGATGTTTATTCTTAATGCATGCTTCAAGGGCTTGTGGTATGTTTGCATAGACTACGTAGTTTATATCAGTCCAAAATAATCATAATAATAATAATAATTTAAAGGAGTTAAATTTGATTTTGGGGGCACAGCTAATAGTTGCATTTCGTGAAATTATGCTTTCACTAAACTTCTTCTGCAATACGTCGAGAGTAGCGTTAATAGTGTGACATGTGGTACCTTTTGCTGAAACCACATGCTCTCCAAATCAATATCCTCCAAATTTCGTCAAAAAAAAAAAAAAAAAAAAAAAAAAATTAATTAATCGGTATCGCTGACCAATCACTGTAGCAGCAGCAGCATTTCCTCTTTCGTTTTGGAAAATAATTGTCTGGTGATGCCATTATGTTATCAACCACACCATGCAGTGACCTTTTGCGAGTGCAATAAGAGCTTCTCGTGCATCTGTTGAGGTCTCTTTTCACACCTAAATTGACCCCAAGCGACAATTTTGTTTCTTAATTTTATACATTCAAGCAGAAATGCGCTTCATCTAAGAAGATAATTTTTTGCCCAAAAGTTCTTGAAACATATATTTAGCCATGATGCATTGTCAGAAAATACGAATGAAACAAGTAAAAATTAGCGAAACAGATAAACTTTTATGTCATTTCGTTTTACAAGCATTCCAATAGGAATGATATATATATGTTTCAATATATGCATGAATAGCAAGTAAATATCAAAGGAGGTGGATTTTAACATGAAAGAATTATTAGTAAAAAGATGATACTAGTATTTTAAAGAGGAATTCTTATGATGCTTTATCAAACATACATACAAAAATGTGCAAGAAACTAAAGACGAAAGGAGCAGATAGAAATATAAAGAGAAAGAATAATGCCATAGCACCAGATAGAAAACGGATAAAGAAAATAAGTCATTTAAGCTAAATTGTTTGAGAAACCGTTAACTTAAATTACGAAGAGTACATACAAACGCAGTTTGCTTAGGAAGGTGTATGGCATGCAAAACATTTCTATCTCAAAACGTGTTACCTTGTACGCTATTCTTAGGTACTTACCATTCTTTTCTTCTTTTTCTGCAGAACTTGATTCCCAGACCTATAAAGAAAAGAAAAAATTAAAAAAAGTTTCTTTTTTTTTTTTTTTTTTTTTTTAAAGCTGACAGCTAGATGTCAAGAACAGGAAGACACGCACATCACCTAATCCCTTTTCATTCATCGAGAACATTTGGGAATGACGTTCTTTATTTTTAAAACGCGCTACACTGGCGAAACAGATGAGCTCGTGGTCGGCGGCCATATTTGTTTACATTCCTCCCCCTTCCCGTTCCCTCCCTCGTCATATCAAAGATGGCGAATACCGGGTGTTTTTTAAAGGCGCGAAGGCGATGAACTTTGACCTGATGTACATCCGTTTTCACCGAAGCTCGTAACTCTGGTAGTGCTACTGAAACAACACGGAACCGTATCAGTTGGCGATAAAACACAAATAGAACTTTATTTATCGTGCCAACAATTCATTCATTATTTTTGCTGGGACAACTTTTCCTCAAGAGAGTGGATGGCTATTTATTTAACGGTTAATGAAGTAAAGATGATGTTCAGTTGTTTTTCCCGGCACGTGCGTTTTTCAGTCGTATCACCAGTCATTAGTGTTATTTAACTGGCCGCTAAATAGCATTTAAAAGTTCTCTCAAAGAGAAAGACGCCTTTTTTTATAGGCATTAAAAAGCAATTTGAAATAAATAAAATACTCTTAAGAGTCATTAAGTCGTTACCTAAAACTTAAGGTTTTTGAATTAGCAGAACTCGACAACTGAGTTTTGTGATATATTTAAAAACAAATTTATTCAAATTTTAGTCTTTATTATTTAAGCAATATGATAATTATGCAAGATAAAAAACATTCAAGTGAAGCAAAGGAAAAAAAAAAAAAAGACATCTCTCTTTTTTCCCCCAAATCAGGCAAATGAAATTATTCAACAGCTAAAACATTTTAAACTGTTACTCAGCTGCATCAACGCAGTTTACGAAACTAAAATTTGATTTTCAGATTTATGAAACATAGACTAAATATTTACTTCGACACAGAAGCATTTGTTTAAAAGGTCTTTTCATAAATTTGTTATAATAAAAATAAGTTATTTTAATTGGAATTCCTGACTGCTTTGTATCCTGACAATAAGGGTTTAATTTTAAGAAGCATTTATATAGATCTTTTACTAAAAGAGAAAAAAAAAATTCAGATTAAAATTGGTAAGAGAATTTATTTTCTTTCTTCTTCCTTTCAATTCAAAAGAATCTTTCGTGACATTTCATTCTTTGACAGATTTCAATGTGCAATAAATATGTAAAATGTGTTTCTTAACGTGTGTTTCAATATGGAAAAACTTTTCTTTTCGTTATTTAGTAGTTTTTTACAAATTTCATTTAGAAAATTTACAATGCTGTAAAAAAGCATAAAGGCTGGAAACTTAAAATACAGGCATAAAATTTCTCATACAAAATAAAATATCTTATTCTTAGAAATATCTCCAGTAATCAACAGGAAAACTTAAGAAAAAAGTAATTTAAATATAAATATTTAACGTTATTATTTGATCAGTGGAGATATGAGTCCTGCTCCTTCCTGTAAGTACGTTTTAATGCATTACTTCTACATTAATTTGCTGCTTATAATTACATTTAGAGTTAATTTCTTTTTTAGAAAAGTTCTGCAAAGTTTTTAACTTTTATATTCATGTTGACTTTGACAGAAGCTATGAAAACTGTAGTATTTATAAAGTACCTTTTCAGTTTCTTCAAAGAAAAGCAGCAAATGATATATGCTAATATCATTATAATTATCCAAATAGTATTCTTTCACCTATAACTAATCAGATTTGGAAATATTGAATAGTTGTTAATCAAATATAAATACTCGCATTTTCCTACGCGTCATTCACAGTTTAAAGTAACATTATGGTGATTTAATGCGAATTCCCTTCGTTACCGGTTGCTGCATGAATAGCATTATATTGTTCCGCCCCGTTTCGCCGTTGTCCAATAAGAGATATGACATAATTGTAACGCTATGTATACTTAACGTTCTACCCTGCACGTATGCACAGTTATACTAAATGTTTTAATATTAACTACTGCGTGCATGTACATAGTTATCGGTCTATTTTCTTTGTTATTTAATTTAGAAATCGAAGTAAATTTTATGGCCAGTTTTTCAACATGCTGTTAGATATAATTAGCAATTGTAAATTAGCATGCACATAAAAAATTCTTTTGCGCCGAGCAAGAAGAGCAGTGCAACAAAATTAAATTTTAGCTGAGATGATACAAAATTAAAACTAGTAACAAAATAAACTATTTTAATTTAACAATATCAAGCTACAAAATATTATGATTTGTAGTAATATTACTTACCTTTAAGAAATGAATAAATGTTTCTGTAGAATAATTTGAGATAAAGATTAATTTGCCAGTTATAAATCTCGACTACATTTCTAAGTGTGCTTAACAAACTTTTTCATAGAAAAATTAATTAAATGTATTCTTCTTCTGAAAATGTAAATAGCACCAAATGTAAATAACTTATCATTTCAATTTTCATGCGAAGCATTTCAATGCGAAGTCCTTTTTTCCTGTAAAAGCTCTTATAATATCCATTGTATTGTAGCGAAAACTGTTGAGATGATAACGAGTATTACTAATCCACAGACTTTTCAGTTTACTTTGATTATAGTAAACTAATCAATCGAAAAATTCAGGAAGTTAAGATTTAGTCATGAAGTTAGATTAGAACCAAGTTAAGATTCTTGTCCATGCGCTGAATAATTAAACTGCACGCTTACTTACAAACATACTCCGATCACAACTTAAAACTTCTATTAAAAGTACCATCTTAATTTAATATTTTAAAAGTAAGATTTCTGAACTAATTTTAACTCACTGTGAAATAGCTATCTTAAACTTCTTTCCTATCTATTAAGACTGAGAAATAAGCGTTCCGATTCTTATATTTGTATTTTTTTTTAATATTATTTGCTCCATTTTTAGGGCATACTGCCTTATACTAAAATGCTTAAGCATTGTTTTAATATTTTTTCCGAGCACTTAAAATTTTAAGGAATCCATTCAACAAAATGCCGTTATGAAGCGCTTTAGATATAAAAAGCAAAAATAATTTTATGAATTATTATATGCGTTTTGCTAGATTATTATATGCGTTTATTATTAGAATTATTATATGCGTTTTGCAGCGTGTTCCTCGCTGCATTGAAGTTATTATTAAGAGATTTATTTTTTTAGTTCCTTATTCAGTTAATTATTTAGGAATGGTAATATGATGATCATTTGGAGTTATTCCGATCCGATGATCGAAGGGGACAAAACAAGGAATTGGAGGAACAGAAAGAAAGCAAGAAATGTCCTGTCCACGTGGAATAGCTATAAATGCGATATTTTACGATAAGGAAAAACCTCAAAACCAGCAGTGAGGTAATTTTTTGATTCAGTTTCGGATATCTACACGAAAGAAAAACTAGCGTAGAAAGCAAATATATCAGGTACCAAACGAAGATTGATTTTATGAGATATCATCAAATGGAAGGGAAGCAAGCCTGAAAGAAAATGGAGAACTCTAAAACGGGAAAAGAAAAAAGTTTCATGTGGAGCTTTAAGTAGAAAATTTTAAGAAAGTAGACAATTTAATGCTAAGTTAATTTAAATTAATTTAATGTTAATGACATTTAAATCATTTAAATAAACTTCTCAAAAACAATTGAAAAATTTCTACAAAAAAATACTTTAAATTTCCTTTTGATTGTATAAATTCATTCTTTAAAACAGAAGTGATAGAAATTTTCTAAAAAGAAAAAAATATATTTGAATTCTCCAGAAAAAGCACATAACTGATGAACAGCAGGTCTTTTCCAGTTCAATCCAGCAAGTGTCTGCAATGAAAGAAAAAATATGTAATAATATGAACTATACGTGATTCTAGTTCACTACATAAAATATATGACGAACATCATATATTATTGCTTTCATTATTTATTATTCATTTTATAGATAAAAGCAAAGGAAAATCCTTTCTCTTTTGGGACAAAAATAAATGTATTAAAGCAAGGATCTTATTACTTCTAACATAGCATGTATTTAGATACTTACTGGAATGTATGCATACATGCAGACACAGCGAGAGGAATATGTAGATACTTATCACTTCTTTCTATTAGGAAACAATAAACAATTAATAGTTTCTTTGTATTAACAACTGTTTTGCTTATCTTTATCATTAAATTCGTAATATGTGCAGTCTTGATAATCATAAACACAATGCAGTCTCATGGAAAAGCAAAGCAAAGTTTGGTTGACCCCTGTTCTCAGTATGTGATGTCAGGCGAAGACAATAAAGTTATTTCGAAAGCTAAATGACAGAAAGATAGAATAATGATTTTAAGTAAAGACTAAAGTAAGTTATCTGCTTAAACGGAGATTAAGCTTATGCAGTATCGGAATAATGATGATGAAGAGTACTTAGAATGATAAATCTTTGAACACTTGTTACATCTAAAGTTTTAATGGTATATTTTCATGATAAAAACAGGAAGCGGGCGTTAAGCGGATGTTTAGGCAAGGGGTTTTCTGTAAACGATTCTTTTCAGCTTTGCATATATTTCTCTTAAAATTTCATCGCGATTTATTTAGAAAAACTATTACGAATAGTTTGATATGTGGAACTTGCTTGAATATTTTGCACCTTTTTTCTTTTTTGAAGGAAATCTGTTGGTGTCGTAAATTTATTTTTTAAATTTTATTGAATTTTATTGTGTTGCAAACACACTCCTATATTGTTATTATAAATAATTTTAAAATTGACAGTTTCTTGTCGGGATCATATCAAGCGAATACCGGTAAAACACGTTTGATAAGACATGAATTTTAGAATCATACGAAATACAAACTTCTGTGCCACTTTAATTCAAATCTTTCAGGAAACAGCTTAATAACCGTTGTTCAATAAAACCTTCATATAACGTACACACCCCTTAATGTTCCTTCAGTAGATCAATAAAAACCTTACACTGAAATCAATGTATTCAG